ACACACACACACACACACACACACATATGGTGTGTGCATGTGTATTTATATATGACTCTAAAAATTCGTTTAGCTAAACATCAAACTCTAAAAGAAAGGAGAAATTATCTTGCATAAAACATTTAGATATAGACTAAATCACGTCTTCGTAAAAGATTGCCTACTGCATGAATTTACCCGTCCCTTTTCTTTCACTAAAAGAAATAAGAAGAAAAGGTAAAGAGACGGGCACGTCCTATTTGCCAAATATTATTTTATCATTTACTATTAATTAATTCATTTTTCGACTTAAATACTATATGTATCGGAGTAGGGATATACTGGATATCCGGAAAGTATCTGATGTCGAATTTTATCCGGCAGCCCTTTTTTACTATCCAGCCATATAACTGGATATCATTATTAGTATCCAGCAATATATATGTGTGTGCGTGTGCGTGTGTGTGCGCGCGCGCGTGTGTGTGTGTGTGTGTGTGTTTGTTTGTGTATATCCGGTTAAAATTTGAAAATTCGCGTCATTGACATAGAATTTTTTTCTTTTCAGCTAAACGGTAATTATGCCTATTATAAGAGCCCAGTAAACGAGAATGGATTGAAATTTTTTTCGATCTGAATGTGTATTTTAAATAGCGAATACTTTTTTTGGATTTAATTGGATTCAATTGGATTCAATTAGATTCAATTGGATGCAATTGGATTGAAAAACTGCATTTTCTCAAAATTTTGAATTGAACAGTATGTGTGTGTTGTATACAGAAAAAGCTAATATTATTTTTGAAAGGCATAGAGATATGCTCCATGCAATTCCTATAAATGAATAAAAATGCATTCAGGATTGAAAAGCATTCATTTTAACATTCGTGAATCAATATTTCTGAAAATCTGAATCCATTTCAATTCATTTCAATCCATTCTCATTTACTGGGAGAGACCGCACCAACGATCTTGACTTTGACATAGTCAAAGTCATAATTCTGAGTAACTTTGTCTCAATAAGGTGGCGATTTCTGATAGAGTTCCTCTAGTAAGATGAATTAAGACATAAAAGCAGAAGGACGCCATTGCCAGGTATTGGGTACCGGCCGAAAACAACACAATTTGACAGTTGATAGTCCGATTTCGCGTTCGTACCTTCTACACCATGAAACAGTTGTATACACCAATTCACAGATTCACTACCACATCGAAAGTATCTGCAAACGGCAGCGTTTAAAAGGACTCGGAATCTGACCAATCAGAAATCGATGCCCCTCATGACTTGACTCTTACTAGAGGGACTCTAGTTTCTGATAGAGATCCTATATAATCAGAGTTTAAACGAAAGCGGGCATAACTTCTGATTGGTTCTCCACCTTGGTCCACTTAGTATTCTTCGGATAGCGTCATACACTAGTCGGAAAACGAGTGCGAAGAAAAGAGACAGATAGCTACAAGCAGATGAGTAAAACCTGTGTCAAAGAGATTAAAAATCGATTCCGAGATATCGGACAAATAAAAAATTAACAAACTACAATTGCACAATTCGGTCAATTCATCAACTCGATTGGTTTCTTCAGGTATTGTCGTCACGTATGCTAATACTTTTTGCGCATGCGTTCGAAAAAGCAATATCCGTTATCTTTTTCTATCCGCCATTTTTGGTCCATATTCGCCAAACTTTGATTATAAGATCTCTAGTTTCTGAGATATTTAAACTTAAAGTCTAAAAAATGGTGTCACTTTTCTGTCATATGAAACAGAAATTTCCTGCTTTAAAATATATTTTACGATTTTCTACGCGAAGCAACTTTCACTCCACCTCTCCCTTTCTTTGGGACGCGCGACTTCCACGTAGAGACTTTCACCCCACCTCTTCCCCTATTTAGAGGCGCACAATTTCCACTTCTACGCGAAGCGACTCCCACCCTATACCTCCACCCCTCTGCCAAGGGACATTCGACTTTCCACGCGAAGCAACTTGGCGAGATGGTGTATGGAACTCGCTTCACGTAGAAAGTCGAATGCCCCTTGACAGAGGGAGAAGGGAGGGGAAGGTGAGGTAAGGTGGGAATCGCTTCACGTCATAAAATATATTTTAAAACGAGAACTTTCTTTTATTCATATAGTAGAAAAGAGACATGATTTTTTAAACTTTATTTGTTAATAGCTTTTCCACGAAGGACGACCGCCTCCTGAAACCTGTTGGAGGTTACTCAGGACCATGACAATATATGTTAAGGTCAAGGTCATGACTCTGAGTGACCTCCCTTAATATAAATAATCACCCAGCTAAACTTCTTGCACAATTCATCTTCCGTCTTTTTCTTTTCATGTTGAGAAAATAAAGAAAATTATTATCACTATTTTTCCCTTGCTTTCCTTTTTTATAAATAGAATAGAAAAAGTATACCGAATATCTGGAAAATATCCGGTATCCGGCCAGGTAATTGCCCTATCGGATATTCGATTGGATACCCAAAAAGAATGTAATATTGGATATCCAATATTGGACAATTTTACGATCCAGTACATTCCATTTTAGTGAAAGATAGTATCGAGAACGGAGGAGAATGTGAAGATGGAATGGCAGCAGAATAAAAACTCAGCTCTCAATTCCAATACGCGCGAATAATCTCTGCCATGTCAGATATACAACATATATCAACTATTCCCGGTCTTTAGCTCCTATGTATCGTGATCTCTGGTGATCGAAACTATTTAAAATAAATTAATTAATGGCAAATTAACTGGCATCATTAATAGAAATTAATGTTAGATATACTTATAGTCATGTTACCGATTGACTAATTGCTTAATTAATTGAAAAACAATAATCGTGTTTTACTTAACACTGGAAGTCTGTCTCGTTCTGTCTTATTCCATGTATATACATACTGGAGTAACCCTTTCCTTGCCTTCTCCCTCTCTATGAAAATATGTGTGAGGGTCAAACTGCGAAAATGAGCTAGGAAACAGAAACCATCTCCATCACTTTCCATTTCTTTCCTCCTACATCGTTTTTTTTCTGAAAACCCGATGGAGAAGGGAAGACATATGTATACAATATATACTCCAGTATGTAAAGCGCTCACAGAATAAGACAGATGAGACTTTCGGTTTTCAGTGTCAAGTAAAACACGATTATCGTTTTTCAATTAAATTAGAATCAGTCGATCCTTAACGTAACTATAAGTATCTAATATCGATTTCAATTAATAATGTCAATTAATTTGCCATTATAATTAATTCACTTTAAATAGTTTTTGGTCACCAGGTTACATATACATTTGATTTCGGATAGAGCAAACGAAACATTTTTTTATCAATATCAAATTTTTCCCTCTTTTTCGAATAATCTTTAAATTATATTTAAACTGTTTTTACGTATGTATTAGGTGTTGGAATTAATTCGTAGCGTTTTTTAATGAAAGAATGTTATTTATTTCACATGAGCATTAAAAAATACATTAATGAAAGTACTTCCCATCACTTGTAAAACGCTACGAATTAATTCCAACACCTAATATATATAAATATGATATCCCAAACAGAACATAAAGCTAATTTGATACCAAAATAGCTCTAAAATGATCATTAAGAATTACTTTTCAATCAGTCATGAGTCACTTTAATATTATTGTGGTAACATTATCGTGATCTGTTTAGGCATATAATATACATATATATATATATATATGTATACAAGGTGAGGCATTTAAATTTTGAGACAATTTAATATCTTGAATGCATTTTAGAAAAAAATGTTTCGTACTGTTATACAGACAACAAAGAAAAAAGTCAATTGACAACAAAATACAACATAAAATGATTGGACCACTATCTTCAAGATAGAAAAGAATGTTTTCTTCCTTGTTGAACCAGCTCCACGTGATATATCTTGAGTATAATACTAATGTCGGTAGTATTTAAACTTTGAGTACTCATAATTCAGTTTACCATTACAAAAGAAATTGTAATCAGTGTTTTAAAAATGTCTTGCCCTCGGTTGCAAAATTATACGATAAAAAATGGAAATATTTATTTTTAAAAAATTAAAAATCTTCAAACGACTATTAAAAATCAAATGATACCATATCTTATATGGCCTCTTCGAAACTATAAAATTTTTGCATGAAACATTTTACAATGAAAACCTTAATTTTCGATAAATTTTAATTATTTAAACCCACTCCGTGTGCGTGCGTGCGTGCGTGCGTACGTGTATATGTATATATTTAAAACTTAACATTTATAAATATTTTTCATAAATTATAAATTGATTAATTGCAATGATCAAATGTAAAATATAGAATGGAATTCAATGCAACAGTAATTTTTTACAGTACATGTTACAATCTTTGTAGAGCACAAATCTTGCTAAAGAAATAATTATTACCCTTTCTCCATCAATACATATATGTGTATATAAAGAATTAAAATAACTTAAAAAAGAAATTAAACTAAAGAATTCAGATTAATTTTTTCAAAAGCTGTCAAAAATCGATTAAGACGTTTACGTTCCTTATTTTTCGATTGTTGTATACTCAAACCAGACTCATTGCCGTTCCAACATACCGAAAAACGTATGAATTTAAAAAATGTATGAATATATTATTCGATTGACTTTGCCTGAAATATTACTATTTATAGATAAATTTATTGGAGGCGAAAATAAATTGTATTTTTATTTTCGTGATATATAAATGAGACAGTTGTAGATCTGGAGACAAATAAAAGAATGACGTAAATACTGTTCAAACCATGACTAGAAATTGAAATTGAGAGGTTAGACTGGAATTTAACCAATCGAAATATAGTTCATTAAACTTGAGATTGATTTTCTTTCTTCCGATGGATTAAATTCCAATCCAATCTCAATCTCAATTTTTTGATCTGATCATAGCTTTAAGAGGTTAATCTTTAGTCCGATCATGGCTTTTAATAATTTCCATTTTATCATAAATCTTCGACCCACTCATTGGCCCATTAGAGAAAATAAGGTTTCGTTTACCTCAATATCGTAAATCTTGATCTATTTTATATTTTATATATTATATAATATTTATTTTACAAATATTTTCTAGTACTACATACGTGCCATTTCCTTTCCATTCTCCAAAAAATTGATCTTACCACGAGAAAAGAGATCAAATCGAGCTAGTCATGCTTATCGGGCTGATTTTCTAAGCGTAAATGAAACAACCCTCCACAAACACTCGATTATCTTTGGTACATTTTTCTGTTTTTCTTTTTTTTAAGGAGGTAGATAATATAGAATTGTCTTTCTCTCTATCGTACGAGAGCTAGACTTACGAAACGACGTACGATTAATAAATGCATCTCGTCTCGAATCAAGGGAGAATGACAAAAAATCATTCCCTTAAAAATTAATATATTCGAGCGAATGATGGCTCGCCAAGCCAGATCTAAAAATGAAAGAGATCGTGACGAGTAGACAAGTCGCCGACGATTCGAAATAATTTGCAAAATAGTGCGGTAGTTGGAAAAATCTGTGTATGCATTCGCCGTTTAATCCGCATGTGTAGTAATACATACACGTTAGATTGATTCACGTGCATTTAACATTCCGACGAGTGTTTATAATTATGACAACGTTAATCGCTGAGACTATAATGCCTACGATATCGGCAGCCGAAATCTGCCTGGCATTACAGTAAGTAATCGTAAAATCGTTTACGTAAATGCTATCCTTTGAAAAACAATCGATCAATAAATGATCGTACCGGTTTCTCCGGTTCAACATTGAATAAACTTCTTAATTTCGATACAAGATCAACGTGCGCATGGAGATAAATGTGTCTATATAAATCTACGCTTATCTACATGATATGAAGCTTCGAAAGCTCACTCGAACACCGCGAGATCTCGTCGGTGTGTAAGTATATAACAAATAATGCTAACAAAATAATGCGTTCCATTTGGTGACACAAGTTTCTGCCTTTGTTACTCTCTGAATGTCAAGGAAGATAGTGATGTTTGTGTCAACTTGTGTCACTCAGTGTTTGTATGCGTGTATGCGTATGCGCGCGCGCATATATTTTTACTTTTTCTATCTTAAAAAAAAAAAAAAACGAGATACGAGCGATGCTCGAGCATTTCACCAATATTTCGCGATGCGATGCGATTCTCTCATCAGAGAAAATTATTGATTAATAGAGAAACATTAGCGAACCACCATCCTGGGTGCCTCTAATAAAATATCTGCCTTTAACAAAATATCACCGCGTATATGCATGCGTATGATAAACTTTAAAGGTACAGACACAATAGAAGGAATAAGGAATTTCGTCTAACCGCGATTTTTCTCCCAAAATTTTTAATTTGTATATTTGGAAAAGAACTTGTGACACGCGATACTCTTCATTTCGTTCTCTTACATATTATCGTTTCAACTTTCAACGATATAAAGAAATGAGCTTTTCAATTAGAAATAATAATTAATCGATCGTAATGAATCATAATGTGAGCGCGATTTTGACTAATGCAGAGGAAAATTAAGAACGAAAAAGGAAAAGAAAGAACTAGCGATATACTGCTGCAGTGATACATAATTCTATCGCGAAAGTATCATGCGAAAGTGTATATTAACAGTGATGTGTAAATCTGGCGCGGTGCGATTATACGAAAATGGTCCGATTGGCGTACACTATTGTACAGATAAACAATTGCGTGACGCCGAAGACGAAAGACATTTCGAAATTCGATTTCGAAGACACGAGAGCGCGCAACGATGTACATACATATGTACTTTCAACTATCGGAAGTTTGATCGCGCGCCTGCTACGATCTACCAAAAAGCGAAGAACAGATTCCGACATCATACAATAAGGTTCAGTTTCCCGGTTTTGAAAACTTTTCTTATAGAAAAAGAAAATGCGACGGGAGAACGCAACGATGGCGCACATCTCTTTCGGAATCGAATCGTTCTTTGATTCGTCGCAGAAGAACTCGGATTAATCTTTCCACACGTAGAAAAGAAAAATCCAAAGATTCTAAGGCGTAAGTGCGCTCTACTGCGAGTATTACTATTACAATTGTTATATTAATTATTATTGGTGCTGATTCTCTTCGTTTTCCTCCTGCGATATGATGCTCGACCTGTTGGAACGCACGTCGAGATCCATTGCGAAGGGTTTCGTCGAGTTGCCGAGAAGCACCTGCGTGCTCTGACTGTCGTCGAGACTCAGCGAACACTCCAGCGAACTGTCACTGAAAGTACAGAAACAGATTTCTACTCGTCACTAGCGCCTTCGCGGATCGTCCCGGGCTGGATACGTGGTTAGCTCACTTTGACAATCGGTAACCGATTGAATTTACCTGACGATACTGGCGCGATCGACCGAACTACCGCCGCCAACGGTCGGCACCGTACAGTTTTCGCCATTGCACGGTCGCTCGCCGTTACTGCTGCAAGTAGCCGTGCCCCCCGCCGCTGCCTCCCGCATGGACGCTCGCCTAGATTCCTCGTGGCACTCGCACTTGCATTCTTCCGGTTGCACATAGTTGTAACCGGTGACAGTCTTTGCGATCTCATCCTCTGGCCGCGGTATCGTCTGTATCCGTTTCGGTGCTTTTCGTTTCTCTGGTATCTCTTCAAAGTTGATCCAGTTGCTCAGCCGTGCTGCTGCTGTCGCTGATGTTGCTGATGATGATAATGATGATGATGATGATGACGATGCTGCTGCTGCTGCCGCTGCCGTTGCTGCTGCCGCCGTTGTCGTTGTTGATGTTGCTGTTGATGCTCTCGGTGGCAGTGGAGGTGGACTAGGTGATTTCCCTTGATTAATAGCGCCTTTGCGGCCGCCATCCGGCGGCACCTTGCCCGCAAATTCTGTAAACGTATTCGCTGTACTGGTGTATTGCCGTCGCGGACTCTTCAACTTGAAGCTATCCTCTCGCGGCAGAGATATTTTCATCCGCTCCACGCGCCTCTCATCCAGCGATGTCTGCATTACAAACTCATCCAACAAGGTCGGGTTTATTGGCGTAGTTGAGCGCGGTCTCTCGATTGGAATTGTTCTGATAACAAACAATATGATATAATTCCAGTTATTAATATAAATAAAAAATTGTTAAAAATTTATCCTCTATGTGTAATTTAATATTAATAGTTGATTTTCATGTTTAACATTAATATTGAATTACAAAGTAATTAAACTTGAACAAATAACTTTATATTATAATTTAATATCATATACATACAATGGTGTTCCGTTACAAAAACCGACAAGTTTTGTCAATATGTTCGAATGGTTAATTCTAAGCAAGAGTTCATATACATAATGGGTCGATTCTTCGTTCCCAAGATGTGAGCATTTTGTACAAGGCATATTGTACAAGGCCCCATAATAAAAGCTCTGCGATTCCACGTGACAATCATTTGATTTATTGATATGAAATTATATTAATCACATTACAATCACAACTACATTTATTTACACTCGGTAAATTGTCTTCCTGTTCACAAATATTATTTAAATTGTTCATCTTGCTGTAAACATACCCAGTCTGATCTAGTTGCCAGTCCACTGATTGCATTAGCAACATCATGACAGATGCTATCTGCAGCTTCAGTAACCGGGCATTTTACGTGTTCGGATGAACTGCTTCTAGTGCATTGGCATTTTTATTTCATATCTTGAGAACAAAGTCAAATCAATCCATGGTATATATAGTAATTCATTTGTTTCTTAGACTGACCATTTGAACATGCTGATAAAACTTGTCAGTTTCCTAATGGAACACCCTGTATATTGTTCGTATGTATCGTGATTTCCAAATTTTTATTTGAAAGAATTACCTTACTTCCTGAAGTCGTTGTTTAACTGGTAGAATGGGTACAGCTACGCTCTTCTCTAATGGCAGAGTCGTCGGTACATATGGAAGATCCTCCTCAAAACTCTCCTCATAGAAGAGACCCTTTCGCTCGTCTGGTAGCTCCTCGGTCAGTTTCTCGACCTTATTGCGAATAAACTCAATCTCCGAATCTCTTTCGGATTCGGAGCTGTTATGATCCAGATCGGATATCACACTGGGCACCTTTACTAGACCTTCCTGTTCCAACGACTTGCCAATCTTATCATCGAGGTGATCGAGTCTTTTAGTTTCTTGAGCAGCTCGAGAAGGCTCGCCCGAGCTTACTCTTTTCTGTTGCATCGCTACATCGTCACTTATCCTCTCAGATAGTTCTGGCTGCTGCTGCTGCTGCTGCTGCTGTTGCTGGTGCTGATTCTCTTTGCTTTTTCTCTTCGGCTTTGTTATGTCCGGTTTTTTGCCCGTAGACTCTCTCGGCAAGCCACCAGGCAACGCTCGTAAGTCTGTCGATTTAATTTCCGATGTAATCGCCAGTTTAATATCTGGTTTAACCGTAGTCGATGACTTGGCTAGTGGCGGCGTTCCGATTATTTTGTTAGCCTGTGCGCTGATCTTCGAATCCCTCAACGAACTTTTTAGTATATACGAATCTTTTGGCTCGCTCTGCGACAGCTGACTATCTCTGGATAAACTTCTGGATGCAATTTGCGTCGCCGTAACCGTCTCAATCTGCGCCTCGGTCCTAATCTTGGCAATCGACGATGGATGGTGCTCAATGGACACCTCTGTGATTATACTACCCGTATGCGGTCCCTCAGACTCATATTCGTCCAGTAATTTGGTCGGTGTTTCCAATGGTATCGAGACACTCTCTGATGGCAAGGCTTCTTCATAATTTCTGTCATCGGCATGCAGACTAATAAAGATCGAATCATCCTGACGATTCTTTTCCTTTTCCGTATTGAATGTAAACTCTACGTGACCGATGCTCTCTAAAGACGGGTGTTCATCTCCACTAGCGACTTCAAGATCGCACGAAGCCGCAATTGCTTCATCGTAGCTCTTCTTCCTTTCACGTTTCTTAAATAAACTCAGCGTAGACGAAAACACCCCTTTATTTTTCGAATCTTTTTTCAAGATCGAACCCTTGTCAACAGAAACTCTTTCGCGTGACTTTGAACGACTTCTTAAACTTTCCGTAGTGTCCTTCAATTTCGATGTCAGACTCCGTCGTGGCTTTGTGCTAGGTGATGGTGATTCTGGACTCAATACGTTACCGTCGGCTCTAGTCTATTTAATTATAAATATAATGGTCAATAATATATGATTCAGCAACTTGGTAGAAGATCATATATTAATATATTAAGTTGTATGCAAAATTGTCGTTTTTTTTTGTTTTAATCAAATTCTATTTTAAATAAAAACTGTAAAATGTTTTAGAAAGACGATAAAACGCTCCCTAAAAAAATATCTGAAGATATAAGTATCTGAAGATGATTATAACAATTATTTTTTTTACACACGCAAGAATCACTTCAAAATTATTTAATACATCTCATAATTTATTTTTGAAAATTCAACATATACAATTAATTTTCCTCTTTTCTTTGTTAATTACTAATAAAACCGCAAAATTGTATATTAAATAGATTTTATGTATGTACCTTAAATAATGAAGCGAAACTACTTTTTCTAGATACGGACGATGGACTGGGTGTTCGCGAACCTTCCAAATCACGAACTTTTTGATGTCTCGGTAATTTGGGACTTCCGGTAAGACTACTTGTCGTAGGCGTCGTCTGAACAATCTCCTTAAAGTTTTGAGCTTTTTTCCTTTTGTCGTTAAAATCGAGTGTCGCAGGTTTCTGAACTTCTTGTATTTGAATCTTTGATTGATATTGCTGTTGTTGCTGCTGCTTCTGCTGTTGATACTGTTGTTGCATTATCGATCCTTGTTGTTGGCCCGACTTTTTGATGATCGGAACCTATCTCATACATATACACACACAGTACAAGAAAAGATATAATATATTTAGCTTTCAATTTCGCTTTCAAAAGCAAATATTCATTTACATCTTATTCACAGGAACATTTTAACAATATTTTCAATTTAACATGTATTCAAAAGAAATTCGTTTATATTTCGATTAGTAAAATTAGATCAGAAAAGAGAGAGGAAAGAAAGTTTCAGAATATTTTTGCGCTATTACATGCTCATGTTTTATTCTAACGAAGTTACAGAAGTTTCCGATAAAATTAAATTTAATAAAGTTCTATAATAAAACAATATAATTTAATTTATATAAAAAAATTCTAATTCACGAGAGAAGACTCGCAAATATTGCCTGGATATTTCTCAATAGAATGTATCAGGTAACTGAAAAACAAGAGCTTAACACGGAGAACCAACCTCTATATTAACTTTCTCCAGAAATCTTTTGGTAATTTCCACTTCTCGTTTGAAGATTTCCTTCCGCTCCTCACGACCGCGTCTTCTGGGCTTATCCAACGGATCCGGCTTCAGATTGCCACCTACCATAGGCACTTTAATACTCTCGGGAATCAACGCCTTCGTAGTATCGGCCTCCCGCTTCAAGAGTATTTTCTCGAGATCATCGGTCTCCGGTTTCGATGGCTCTATCAGATTGTCAGCCAACGTCGGCTTGCTTCCGCAGAACGACGTCTCTAGTAGACACTTGTGAGGACTGGGAGATCTAAAGGAAATTTATCAACAACTCGTATGTTTTATCTTTCTCGCTCTATTACGCTGTATAATTTTTCTCAACAAAACCTTCCTTATTTTCCGTTAATAAACCTTTTGAGAAGGTCAAAGAAAATAATCTAGGAACTTTAAATTTTAAGCTTTGCGTATAAGTAGCAAATAATAATTTAAATAGCGCGACAGTTTTATTCTTTAATCAATTTCTAACGTATATCGATGTAACAAGAGAAACTGCAATTGCAAAACATAAAAGAAAGTTAATAAGTTAATAGGTTTTAGAGCGAGTCGGCAACGTTGAACGAGATTTTCGAAAAAGATACAGTTCGATTCTCTTAAAGAACAAAATTTTGCGCCAGTAGGTGTTTATATATATTGCATATATAATGAAGAAAATACGTTATATTATTTTATATATATAAAAGGTATTTTCATCTTCATTATTTTGCGTTCTTTACCTGGAGGAAGTCGCTGACATAACCGAGAGCTTCCCCGAAACGCCGGAGCCTTGACTACCAACCGACGACAATCTAGATGTTCTACCGCTGATGTTGAGCAAACATATCTCCGAGCAATTACTGTCCTTGCGTTCACGATCCTGGCCTAGTTGCTTGCCGCTATAATCTGATTGAGATCCATCGGTCTCCTTTCGCTTTCGCCTTTTGGATTCTCGTTTGAGATCCTGTTCATGGATGGGATCCTGTAAATCCAGCTCCTCCGTAGAAGATCTCAGATCTTGAGCATCTTCCTTATAACCCAGAGTCAGCTTGCAACCGGACGGAGGATCCGCACCTAGAAATTCACGGGATCTCTAGAGTTTTCGTTCCTAAACGGCATTCTCCAAAAGTCTCTCTAATAACTTTTAAAGTCTATGTAGATTAAATCGGACGAAACATTTCTCCCTTCTTACATTTGATATCATCAATCGTCCGTATGATCACCTATAATGTTCGAACAATTTAACAAATCTATGTCACATCTTCTCGCGCTTCCTACAAAATGTATGAGTATATAAGTGTATCGTTTGGCCCGAATTTTCCATCTGACATTGATCAAGATTAATAGTTTCTGTATAGATAATACCCGTGGAAGACTCAAAAGTATTAATAGGTAAGAAGATTGTGTCAGTAATGATCAAATGAGGACAAGATTCGAGGTTTTAATGATGTAATTTGTGCACTATGTATGTACTGCAAAAATTCACTAAATTAAATAATTGAGATGGACAATCGGTAGGAACAGACAATTTAATTTAAATTTTTCTAATTGAATCGATCAAAACCTTGACCTGAGAAAATCTTTTTCAGAAACTATTCAAAATATTCACAACCTATGCATCCAAAGTTCGCTTCTTGTACCCTTCTAATAAATTATCAATTTAATCGCGCTAATTCGTCTTGGATATGTGTATTCGATCATACATACATCATTGTTGTATTATGCCATGTTGAACAATCGCAATTAATAAAAATTGACAGAAAATGACAAGATTTAATAAATTCAAATAAAAAATATTTATAACACTCGCCGCATTTATTTAGACTGATTTATTAATTAAAAATATACATGAAAGTAATCTATTACATTTATAAAAATGCATTCGAATATTCCAAAAAATATATTAAATATATATTAATATATATATTAAATATATATCCAAAAATATATATTAAATTGGCGATACTGAATCTACCTGTTTGATATATATATATATATATATGTATATATATTTGCATTACTATATAGCTAACTAACATATATGTATATCTACAAAAATAATAGAATAGGTTGCTAAGAGAGTGAAATGCAAATATTGTTCTGAAATGTTTTCAAAAATACTCGAAGACTATAACCCGATTACTTACAAAAAATGTTCAATTCCTATATACTTTAAAAGATCTTCCAAAGTCCAAATTATATCCTTGAATGATACTTGATATATCTCAAAAGAATTATTTGATATTATTCGATCTTTACTGTACCTCACACTTACCGTAAAATACTTGTCCATTTATCAAAATCGATTAAATTAAATCAGTTCCAAATTTATCAAATTTATTATTTCACTTAAAGTTATGTGAATATCGTATTATCAAAGTGTCACGCAGTGCAATCGATGTCGTTGAGCAAAGTATAAAAAAAATTGGAAATTTGGAAGTAAAACGATTGGTACAGTAGTTTGCAAAAGAATAATCACCTGCAAGAAGCTCCCGTTCAGGTGACGAGTCCCTGGAATTACTATCCTCATGGTGCGAAGAACTGCTTGCTCTACTGATATCAATTCGTGGCGTGCTAGGGGTCTTGAGCGAACTGCCAGGCGTTGCCGGCGTGGTGACCTCGACGATACCCGGCATTCGCCCTGCCGCCGCCGCCGCCGCCGCCGCCGCCGCCGCTTCTCCCTGCATTCAAATTCGTTTCCTGGTTTGTCGTAGCACAGTCACACGGGGTTGAGTGGTTGGTTGTTGGGCTCAGGTCGCGGGCCAGCTTCTCGCAGTGACTCACAAAACTCACGGACGATCGAGAAGATTAATCTCGAGATCGCACACATACATCGGGATTCAAGTTCAGAATTTCAGAGAGATAGAAAGCAAAAAGGAAGAACATAAAGGAAAAAAAGAAAAATAAAAAGATAAAGAGTGATGGAAAGAGAGAGCGAAATAGAAAGAGAGCAAGAGGGAGGGAGAAGGATGAAAAGAGGAAGAGGTCGGAAGGGAGAGAAAAGAGGGAGGAGGATAGGGGAGAAGGGAGGAATAGGGGGAGATTTGGGCGGGAATGGAACGAACTGGGAGTGGGAGGCAAAAGGGATGAGTGGGTGCGAGGATAATGGAGGGGGTGGGGTGGGGGATAGAGCGAGATGAGGGAGTGGGAGACAGGGAGGGGTGGAAGGTGGGGTAGG